AAAAAAAAAAAAAAGCAGGGGAAGGTAAAAAGAGGAAGAAGGGGAAGAAAGAATTAACAAACAAAAACAAGGAAAGGAAAAAGCCAGGGTAGATTCCAGACCCAGAGGAGAAAATTCAGAAGTCTTCTGCCAGTCAAAGAGCTCACATGGTGAATGGGTAAAGGATGAGACAGTTGTTGCTCAGTCCTAGATGGAATACCTGTGTGCCTAGATGTTTATGTTCTGAGCACTCAATCTGGAAATAGTTCTTGCAGATGCTTAAGAAGCTAGGACTGAGGTCTTCCTGTCCCAAAGGGCAATTGGGCGCAAGAGTTCCTGCTTTATCTAGAGCTAGCCACTACTGGCTCTGCATGTCCAGAGTTGGCTTCGACTGAATCTAGGGGTTGGTGTGGATAGGTTCTGACTCATTTTTATGTGACTCACAACTGCTAAGCTCAACATCGTGCAGTTACTGGAGAACAGGAACTTTGCTCTGGGTGTACATGTGCAGCTGGGGACTGGCCAAACATCTGGTCACCAGGGTAATGTGGTACACAAGAAGAACATCACCCCTTTCTGTCAGTTATTAGTATAATGGTACACTTTTACAACACTTCTAAAAGTCACCTGTGAAAGTTCAAAATGGCCAGGCTGTGACTGGTCGGCAAGCACAAGTCTCTTCTCCCAACTCCTCCCTGCTCCTCCCACCATCCATCTGTTCATTTTCTTATTCTAATGAGTGCTATTCCAGGGCTGGTCAAGGCCATCCCTGCAAGCTTGAAGCAGAGCTCACCTGAATCCTGGTTCTAGGGTTGGTGTGGATAGCTCCTGACTCAATTTGATGGGGCTTAAAACTGCACCACTTTACCACTGTGCAGCTTTAATTCAGGGAGTGCAGGTACTAGGCTGGGTTTATATATACGCAGGTGAGAGTTGGCAACTGGGCACCAGGTGAGTGTCAGGAACAAGAAAAAATATTGCACCTTTATCTGCAGGAGCCAGCAGTATACCTCTGGATCACCAAAGTCACTCAAACAAAAGTTTAAGATGGCCATACCACATCTGGTCTGCCGGCAGAGGTCACCAGTCTGTCTCTTTTTTTTGCCATGTCTCTTCAGCATCTTCTTCTAGTAAGCATTCAGTCCACTTCTATCTCCCTCCATCTGAAGCCAGGGTTCCAGGACCATCATCTGTGCTGCTACATTTGGTTTTCCGTATCTTTGTCATAGAGGGACTGTGTAGTGTTTCTGCCTAATCTGTCATCTTGCCACATATCCAGGACTCTGACTTTTAAATAATTGAAAGAGAAGGAAGAAATTGAGAAAGGCATGAATTTATGATTTAGATAAATGGTTGTTGATAGAGTGATGCCATTCACCAAGAGTAAAAAAATATACATAGGAGGTGGTGGCAGTAAAGATTAGCTGTACCCTTTTTATAAAGTAAAGGTGCCATGGTGAAATGTCTACTGAGCCAAGGACCACAGTTCCTAATCTTTCATCGATTTATGTGTGCCCATGTAGATAGATCTCATCACTGAATGAATGTTAGCAGAGTGGTGTGCATCATTTTCAGGTCAATGCTTTTAAGAGTAGTAATTCCTTCTCCCTGTTACTCTCTTTCTTCTGATGGATAGATGGCATTGAGGCCCTCAGGGATGATGGAGCCACGAGATGTAAAGTACTGGTTCTCTTAATTACTGCATGGAGGACAATTGCCAGTAGACCAGGAACATCTACTTTGAACTCTAATATGAGAGAGAACTGTGTATGAACATTATACATTTTGTGATTTAAAAAAATATATATATATGATCTAACCTTACTCTTAATTCAGAGGGAGAACAGAGTTCTACAGGAAGATGAGTTAAGAATGATCTCTTAAGGTCAATTGAGGGTCCTCTAAGAAAGCTGTGTTCTAGCTAGAGATATACAGGAATTTACATATATAGGGCTTCAGGTCAGAAGAGATATTAAGTCTTCAGTGGATAGTTCATAATTGAATACATTTGTGTGTGCTTCCTAAGAGAAAGCATATAAAATAACAACAAAGGTTTACAGTCTCCAGGAGACACAACATTTAAATTTGAAGGAGTGCAGTGAAAAAGAAACCAGAAAAGATCTAGAATGAGCTACTAGAAAGGCTTGAGAAGTACTAGAAGAGTGCTGTCAAGAAAGAAAAAAGAGACTGTCAGGGAGGAATATGTGGTCAGTAGTATGAGATGTTATGGAGTTCTGTTATTGGAATCCTAGTGTGGTGGTGTGAGAATAAGCACTGGATTGCTAACCGAAAAGCCAGTGATTCGAACCCTCCAGCAACTCCTTGGAAACCCTATACAGGGTTACTGTGAGTCAGAACTGACGCCGTGGCATTTATCAATAACATCCTGTTACTACTTTAAAGAACTCATTTTCCCAGATATGAAATATATATATATAAATATAAAATCACCCCCAAAGGAATTATTAATAGTTTAAAATAAAGACTTAAACTCTGTCTGTAGATAGCTGGCAGCTTGAATGTGACTTGAGCAAGTCAGAAAAGAAAATAAACTCATTGGCAGATTCTGAAGGGGATCAGGTGATGTGATGAGTTCTTTGGAAAGAACAGATGTGGTAACTTTAAATTTGTGATATCTACCCAGTTATCTACCCAGAACTGGGAGTCCTAGTATGGCACTTTTGGATAAGCACTGGGCTGCTGTTAAGGTTGGTGGTTCAAATCCACCAGCTGCTCCTCAGAAACCCTACTATACAGGGTTGCTATGACTCAGAATTGATTGAGCAGCACTTAAACCCCAAACTCAAGGTACATTGGAACCCTAGCTAAAATTTAGATTTCTGTCAGTTTCAAATAGCTGTGATGGGCAGGGAAGTTCCAGGAGGAAATCCAACAGGGGCCACCATATATAAAAGATATGGACAGACCAAAGAAAAGCAGACAATTCCATCTTGAATAGGCAGTCTAAGAGTATTGTTACTGTTAAGTGCCATAGCGTCACTTCCAACTCATCGCAACCCTGTATGGGGTTTTCAAGGAGCAGCAGGTGGGTTAGAACGCTGCCCTTATGGTTCACAGTGCTAAATCAAGGCACTGACAGAATTCTGCTCTGCATTTTAACTTCTGTAGCCTATGTTGTTGTATAAATGATCCCAACATTGCTTCTTTCCCTTGTGTGTGACTCTCTATATCTGGTCTGTTCTTTTTATAAAATAACATTGAGAAGGGCTTAGGTTCAGGATTCATATTACTCTGGTTAATAAAACAAAAGAGAACTACTTCCAAACAAGGTCACATTCATAATACCGGCCTAGGACTTGAATATATCATTCTGTGGGACATAGGTCAAGCAGATAGATTCATAGTCACATTTTCTTAACATTTTTTTTTTTCTTTTTATTGTGAATTGGGTGAAAGTTAACAGAAATCAGTTTTTTTTTTTGTTTTTTTTTAATAAATGTTTTGTTGTGAATTATGTGATAGTTTACATGGGATACCATAGATTTTACATTCATTCTGTCATATATCGTTTCATTGCCATAGTTACAATCCCATCCATGCACCATCAACCAACCAAAGGGTATATCCTGCAAGCCTGTTTCCCCCCATTCCCCCCCAGACAGCAGCACACAGCTCCTTTCCCTCTCTGGATCTCAAGTTCCCAGCCTCTCCATCTCTCCGCGTCATTGTCTCTGCCTCCATCTCAGGCATCACGACTTCTTTGGGTAGGGTCCCACTCTCTGCTCTTCTCCATTGTTGGTCCCAGGGCCCTCCACTCCTAGACTGAAAAGTTAATAACTCCCCTCCTTGCTGTAAAATGTCCACCTTTACATTTCCATCCCTCACAATCAGTCCTGATAACAATTATTCACAATTGCATCACAAGAGACCCATCTGCATTTCATTTCATCAGCCCTTCCTAGACAGGTTGGATACTACTCACTGGAGGCTCTATTTCCCTCCATGCCTCTGGATCTAGGTTCCCTAACAGAGATCAGTTTTACATTCAACAATTCATACACATTTTGTTTCATCTCTATTGCAATCCCTGCCCCCCCATGAAATATCACGCTTCCTATGCTTCCTGTTTCCATCCCTCCTCCTTTCTTAAAATCCTCCTGAATTTAGTCCTTGTGTAAATACTACCTTTTGTCCTCAAAAGGCTCATTATTGGAAGATATGGGTACCTCCCTAATGTTTTTGCAGGGCGTTGAGTTCACTTCTAGTTCTGAGGAGTGACTAAAGGTCCCACCAGTCTCAAATCACTAAGCCTGATCTTATTTTGTGACTTGGAGTTTTGTTCTGTAATTTTCTACCACTATCCAAAACCTTCTAATGTGATCCCTTTCAGAGCAGTTGGTAATGGTACCTGGACCTCATCATTCTTCTGATCTCAGGGTCATGGAGACTAATATTCATGTGACATCAATCTCTTATCTGAATTTAATAAATTTAAAAATCACCAAAAAAGATGCTTAACCTCCTTCAACTTTGTGGTAAATAAGAAACGCTCTGGGATAAAAATTAAAAAAAAGGAAAAGAAAACAAATTATGAATTATACAGAAAGTGATGAATACCCAAACCAGTGATGTTATATATTTTAAGAGCTTTTATTATAAAGTACAGAGTACCCTGAAATAAACTGATAACAATGTAAGAAGTTATACAATTGAAAAAATAAATCCTTGTGTGTCTTTTTCAACTGCATCTGCTGTGATTATATCAAACTTTTCCTTTTTATTGATAATAAATTTATTTGCAGTCTTGCTTGCTGTTTCTACACCAATTTCACTTCATTTTGTTGCTTATAACAAGTTATTTTTGTCTTCATGGATCTAAAATCATCTTTGTTGAATTAAAATAATGTAAATAAGAGAGAAAATAAAATGCATATTATAGATGAATTGGTACCATTTCAAAATAATGTTTCTGAATTTTGAAATAGGGCAGATGTAAATATACACTTGAGAATTGTTAAATTTTTGGTTTTCTTCTAGATTCTGATGGAAGAAAGAAAAACGTGTATTTTAAAAGAAAGGCCAGCATCTAAGAAAATGTGTCAGTATACTGTATAAGTCAATTTTATTCTTTTAAAAAGCTTTAAGATTTAAGTAGAAGTCAGTTAAATTTTTAGCTTTTTGTGAGCAAATATATTCTATGGATAGACTATACTAGTAAATGCAATTGACTTTAAAATTGCTTTTATTTAGAAAATATATTATACATGGTGTAATATATGTAAATTAATAAGTAATAAAACACATACACCTTGTACTTAACCATGTTCTTTAAGAAATAGTACATTATCAGTATCTTTGAAGGTTTCCTCAATTGCACATTCTAATCTGCCCCTAGAGGTAACTGTTATCCTGAATTTTTCTTTTGTAATTTGTATCATATATAGACTTTTTAATTGCTTGATTTTGAAATTTATGTATACTGAGGCAAACTGGTGATGCAAACAGTTAACACTCAACTACTAAAATGGTTGGAGATTTGAACCCATCCAGAGGCACCTAACAAGACAGTGATCTGCCTTGAAAACATCACAACCTTGGAATCCCTGTGGAGTACAGTTCTACTTTGACCTACATGGGGTCCTCACACATCAGAATCTACTCAGTGGCAACTAACAACAACCATAGGGCAGTCCTACAAATAGTGTGGTTTTTATTACATAGCCTCACTGATAGGGATTATGGTGAAACTGAATTTTCATGAATATAGTATAGATGTTGTTGTGAAATGCTGTCGCGCAAATGCTTTGTTCTAGACTAATTGAAACCACTACTCATCTGTCAGTTTTTTGTACTGTGGTGGCTTGCTGTGATGATAAATGTCAGTAGCGTCATCCACACTAGACAGATTTAAGCAGAGCTTCCAATTTAGACTAGGAAGAAGGAGAGGCGGGCTACTTCTGGATGTGTAGCCACTGAAAATATAATGAATAGCAGCAGATCATTGTCAGATATAGTACCAGAAGATGAAAACATTATGAATAGCAGTGGAATATTGTCAGATACAGTGCTGGAAGATAGCTCAGATTGGAAGGCATTCAAATTATGACTGGGAGAAGAGCTGCTTCCTGAAAATAGAGTTAAAAGATGAGAATGGAGTAAAGCTTTTGGAACCTTCATTTGCTGTTAGGACACAACAGCTGCAAACATTCATTAATAATTGGAATATGGAATGTATGATGAATCTAAGAAAATTGAAAGTTGATTTCTTGATGCCTGCTTCCATAAGTGTCATTAGTGGATCCAAGCAAAATGAAGTCTTTGACAACTTCAGTATTTTCTCCATTTTTCTATTCTCCGTGATGCTATTTATGGGTGCAGTTGAGGTGATTTTTTCTTTACATTGAGATGCAACCCATACTGAAGGCTGTTGTCTTTGATCTTCATCAGTAAGTCTTTTAGGCCCTCTTCACTTCCAATAAACAAGGTTGTAGTACTTGCAGATCTGCAAGGTTAATGAGTCTTTCTCCAATCCTTATGCCAGGTGCTTCTTAAAATACAGATTCTTGGATTATATGCTCAGCAGACAGATAGAGTAAGTATGGTGAAAGAATATAATGCTGGCACACATCTTTCCTGATTTTAAGCCATTCAGTGTCTCCTTGAGCTTTCAGACTAAGACAGATTAAGGAGGAGGAGAGGCAGATTAGGTTTTAATATTTAACCACTGAAAACTTTATAAATAACAGTGGAACACTGTCAGTATCAGATATTAATACTATCTGACAGTGTCAGTAAATCACAGATAAACATCTTTCTGGTAATCTCTACTTTCATCTAAGATCCATTTGATGTAAGCAGTGATATCCCTCTTGCCACATCCTCATCTGAATCCATCTCAACCTCTGACAGTTCCCTGTCAGTGTACTGTTGCAGCCTTTTTAAATTATCTACTTGCATGTGATTCTACTTGCATGTGATTTTAATGGTATTGTCAGATGATTTCTGCATTTTCTGGGTCACCTCTTTTTGGAGATCCAAATATGGATCTCTTTGAATCAGTTGGCCAGGTAGCTTCCAGATTTCTTGGCATAGATGAGTGAGTGCCTCCATTTTGTTGAAAATTTTCAATTTGTATTCCAAGAATTCCCAGAGCCTTATTCTTTGCAAATGCCTTCAGTGCACCTTATACATCTTCATTATCATTGACTCTTGATCATATGCTACCTCTTGAAATGGTTGAATATAGACCATTTCTTTTTGGTACAGTGACTATGTATTCCTTCCATCTTCTTTTTTTTTT